AAAATTAATATAAAAAATAAGCCACGTAGAGATGACTATTACACAGAGAGTCTGGATTGTGTTGTCTTTGGGATTCTTTTTTTTTTTTTGGTTTTTCGAGACAGGGTTTCTCTGTGTAGCTTTGCGCCTTTCCTGGAACTCACTTGGTAGCCCAGGCTGGCCTCGAACTCACAGAGATCCGCCTGGCTCTGCCTCCCGAGTGCTGGGATTAAAGGCGTGCGCCACCACCGCCCGGCTATCTTTGGGATTCTTAACTACAGAGAGATGTTTGATTGTAAAGGAAGCTGAGTTAAACCAGTATGTATATTTTAAAGATACTTTGACTTCAAAATTTAGATGTAAGGATATGTTGCTTTGGAAAAGAGTCTCTTTTGTTTCCACAGAAAACAAGAGGCTATGGATTTGTTCCAGATTAAGACACATCAGGTTTGACCAGCCAAGACCCCCTGAAAGGTCTCCGATGACACCAAGGCCCAGATGATCCAACATCCAGAACCGTTTCAAGACAACTGGCTCAGATGATACAGCCTCACGGACTATTCCATGATCCTAAAATTTTGTTTCCCCAGAAGATACAGCGCCCCCCTCCAGCAGGAAGTAGTAAGAGAAGCTACGCCCAAATTCCCAAATATACCAAGCTGACTTTGGAGATGTGTAAAGGTTAAAACCTTCCTTTTTAAGAAAAGAAAAGGGGAAGTACTGTGGGATGGTCTGTATGTCAAATGTGTTGCTGATTGGTCAATAAATAAATCACTGATTGGTCATTGGCTAGGCAGGAAGTATAGGCGGGACAAGGAGGAGAATAGAGCTGGGAAATGGAAGGCTGAGTGGGAGAGACACTGCCAGCCGCCATCAAGATAAGAAAGATGTAATGTACCGGTAAGCCACAAGCCACGTGGCAAGGTATAGATTAATAGAAATGGATTAATTTAAGCTGTAAGAACAGTTAGCAAGAAGCCTGCCACGGCCATACAGTTTGAAACCAATATAAGTCTCTGTGTTTATTTGATCGGGTTTGAGCGGCTTGGGACTGGCGGGTGAGAGAGATTTGTCCTGACTGTGGGCCAGGCAGGAAAACTATAACAACAAAGCAAGAAGCCTGCCACGGCCATACAGTTTGTAACCAAAATAAGTCTCTATGTTTACTTGATCGGGTTTGAACGGCTTGGGACTGGCGGGTGAGCTATGGGCCAGACAGGAAAACTCAAGCAACAAATGGCGCCCAACGTGGGGCAAGAGATTCCACCTAAAACCTGAGAAAAAAAAAAGATTCTAAAACGGAACTAAAAACAGCTTCCTAATTGTCTCTCTCAAATGAGTGGCAGCTGCCGGTTTGAGCTACTGGTGGGTTGCTGGCATGCGCGCTCGACCTGCCACCATATGGCGGGAATGAGGCCTCTACAAGTGACACATTAAGCTACATTGTGGATTTAGCCTTTGCTAGTACAAAACAAAAAAAAAAGAGGTTTCTGGGCTACATGCTGCTTGGATAAAAGCATAGACCCACGATGGCTCCCAGAACTGGCGGTAAGCATACCACCGTCGCCATGTTGGGAAGCTGAAGTGGGCGGAGCCAGCAGCCACAGCACCAGCGCCGTTTCAGGCTTAAAAGGCTACAGTTCAAAGCAATAGGCTCAAGCTAATATAAAAAAATAAGCCACGTAAAGATGGCTACCACACAAAGAATCTAGATTATGTTCTCTTTGATATTCGTAACTAAAAAAAAACATTTGATTATAAAAGCTGTTGAGTTATGCCAAAATGTATATTTTAAAGGTACCTTGACTTCAAAATTTGGATATAAGGATATGTTGCTTTGGAAAGGAGATTCTGCTTTTGTTTCCACAGAAAGCAAGAGGCTATGGATTTGTTCCAGAGTAAGATACATCAGGTTTGACCAGCCAAGACCACCTGAAAGGTCTCCGATGACACCATGGCCCAGATGATCCAACATCCAGAACCGTTTCAAGACAACTGGCTCAGATGATACAGCCTCATGGACTACTCCATGATCCTAAAATTTTCTTTGTTTCCCCAAAAGATACAACGCCCCCATCCAGCAGGAAGTAGTAAGAAAAGCTACGCCCAAATTCCCAAATATACCAAGCTGACTTTAGAGATATGTAAAGGTTAAAACCTTCCTTTTTAAGAAAAGAAAAGGGGAGGTGCTGTGGGATGGTCTGTATGTCAAATATGTTGCTGATTGGTCAATAAATAAATCACTGATTGGCAATGGCCAGGCAGGAAGTATAGGCGGGACTAACAGAGAGAAAAATTGAGAGAACAGGAAGCTGGAGAGGGGAGACACTGCCAGCCGCCATCAGGACAAAAAAGATGTAAAGTACTGGTAAGCCACAAGCCACATGACAAGATATAGATTAATAAAAATGGATTAATTTAAGCTGTAAGAACAGTTAACAAAAAGCCTGCCACGGCCATACAGTTTGAAACCAATATAAGTGTCTCTGTTTACTTGATCGGGTTTGAACGGCTTGGGACTGGCGGGTGAGAGAGATTTGTCCTGACTGTGGGCCAGGTAGGAAAACTCCAGCTACATCCCATTGTGCTATAAGCCTGTATTTAAGACCTCCTCCCTCCTTCAATAAACGGCATTCGGCATTCAAAATTTAAAAAAAAAAAAAAAAAAAAAGACTCGTTTCCCAAGCAAAGAAAACTGGCAGGTTTTTAGGGTTTTGTTGTTGTTTTGGGCTTGTCTAGCATGTATAAATCCCTGGGTTTCACCCCCAGCACATTACAAGCCAGACAAGGTGGTGCACACCTGGAATCCCAGAACTCAAGATGGAAGGCAGCAGAGTGTTGGAGGTATGTGCCTTTAATCCCAGCACTTGGGAGGCAGGAGGATCTCTGTGAGTTCAAGGCCAGCCTGGTCTACAGAGTGATTTCCAGGACAGCCATGGCTAAACACACACACACACACACACACTTTAATTGTGTGTGTGTGTGTGTGTGTGTGTGTGTGTGTGTGTGTGTGCACATGAGTGCAGAGTTGCCAAGGAGACCAGAGGTGTCAGATCCCCGCTGCCATTCCAGGCAGCTGTGAGCCTCTGACATGACTACTGGGGATGGAATTCCAGTCCTCCGCAATAGCACTACATGCTTTTAACTGCTAAGTCGTCTCTCCAGACCCTCCCTTGATCTGTCAAAGGAGGAAATATAACACCAACTTAACCCCTCATCCATACTTTCATCTTCCCAACAGCACTGAAGCCAGCAGATCACTTACCAGGCTGGGTTCCCTGCTGGCTGTGAGGTGTGGGACATAGTGCTGCACTGGAAAACCACTGGGCTCTAGTACTTTCTCTGACTACCAATGACTTCCCTTCCCTCTGTAGCCAGGTAGCTGGGGAGCCTGGCTAGGGGACCAATTTATCACTTTCCCTCTGTCCATCTTTGTGTGGTGGCTGAGAGGGATCCACACAGCTGTGATGGCCCTGCTGTCCTGGGATCTCAATACTTCTATGGATATCAAACTGGCCATTACCAGTCATAAATCTGGCTCACACTCCGGCTGCCTCTGTTGGTCTCCCTGTGGCCTTTGTGGACACTTAGGAAATGACCTCCACCCAGGGAAGCTCATTGTTCAAAACAAGATGGGCTTCCTCCTCTCCATCTATCCCACCTGAGAGTTCCTAAAAGAGTTGACAAAGGGTGTGGGGGGTGGTTGGGGACACGACAATGAAGAGAATCACAGCCACAATAAAACTTCTAGAATCAGGGCAGGTGCCACTAATTCCTCTCACTCTAGAACAGCGGTTCTCGACCTTCCTAATGCTGCGACCCTTTAATACAGTTCCTCGTATTGTGCTGACCCCAACCATAAAATTATTTTTATTGCTACTTCATAACTGTGATTTTGCTAGTGTTATGAATCGTAATGTTATGATGTGTTTACTGATGGTCTTGGGCAACCCCTGTGAAAGGAACATTCGACACTCCCCCAAAGAGGTTGAGATCCAGAGGTTGAGAAATGCTGCTCTAACACTTCCTACCAATCTACCTGATCCTGCTCTTGCTCCACACTAAGGCCTTCTCCACTCAGATCAAGTGATCACTTGTGTTTTACTTATTTGTTTGAGACCTAGCCCAGCAGGCCTCAAACTCACCATGCAGCTTGAGGATGACCTTGAACTCTTGGTCCTCCTGCCTCTACTTCCTAAGTGTTGGGATTAGAGAAGTGAGCCACAGCGTCCTGACAGTGATTACTTGAAAACAACTGTTACAGCCTTCTAAGCCGGTGGCTTCCATGTCGCAATGATTCCCAGGCTTGCCCCACGTGAACCCTCATTCCTTGCCACTTTCCCGTCCCACTGCAGTCCAGCCCCTTACTTATGAGACTAGGCCTCATGTAGCCCAGGCTGGCTTTGAACTTGCTCTGTAGCTGAGGATGACCTTAAACGTCTCATCCTCCTGCCTCTACTTCCCAAATACTGGGGTTATAGGTATGTCAGTACACTCAGTTTTATACCATGCTGGGAATTGAACCAGGTACTTTGTGCATGCCAGGCGAGCACTGTATTGAGTTACTTCCTAGGGCCCCAGGGGTCTTTTTTTCTGCTCAAATGGGTCGAGCTGTTGTGGCTCGGAGAATTCTGCTGCCATGAACACCCTTCTCTCAGATTCTCACGGAGGCAGCTTTCCCTCATTCAGTTCTTCCGTCAAACACCTTCTCACAAGCTGGATGTGATGGCTTTACCCCTGTAATCAGAGCAACCAGGAGGGTGAGACAAGAGGACTGAGAATTTTGAGGCCAGCTGGGGTTACACGGCGAATTCTAGGTGAGCCTGGGCTGCAGAGCAAGGTGGTCTCAAGAACAAAAGGAACACACTATGCTTGTTAGTACTCATTTGCACCTCCTGCAAGTACTCATCTGCACTTCGGAGGTAAAGACAAGAGGTTCAGGTCATCCTCAGTTAAACGGCAAGTTCAAGGGCAGCCTGGGTTACAAAAGACCCTAATCTAAAACAAAAACAAAAACCAGGGGCCATGCCAAAATAAGTGTTATTGTGTTTCAAGCTTGATCCCCCACCCCAATTGTCTTATTAAAAGAGAAAGTTAAAATTTAAAAGGGGGGGGGGGGCAGAGAGACGACTCAGTTCATAAAGGTGTTTGCTGCCAAGCCTGATGGCCTAAGTTTGACCCTCAGAACCTACATGGTTGAAGGAGAAATACAACTGACATCCATGTTTAAGCCATAGCTCAAATTCATGCATATACACCCTGCAAAACAAATGAATGTAAAAAACAGACAAAGAAGCAACATCACTCAGAGGCTTTTCCTAACCTCTTAACATCAAGCGGTCTCCCCCAGCCCTGCTCTCTCTTGTCCTCATCCTGCATGTGTATACTGCAAGCCACAACCTATAATTATTTGGTTGCTACTACTATTGTGGTTACTCATCTGTCTCCTGAACAGAATGTGACTTCTGTGTGAGGCAGGGAATCTGTCATTTGCTCAGTGTCAAAGTATCACGTGACCTGCATCAGTGCTTGAGACATTACAGGTATTAATTATCCAATGAGTGAATTCACTGAGTAAGTGAATGAACTAAAGTCAGGTGAGAGCCAGGTGGGGCTGCACATGCCTGTAATTCTGTAATCCTGGGAGAATCAGGAGTTCGAGGCCAACCTCAGCTTTGAAGACAGACTGGAGTACATGAGACTGTCTTAAAAAAAAAAAAAAGTAGTCAGCTGACTATGGGGTCATCTCATCTCCATGTCTGGCACCTTCTCACCAGAGTGCATCCTGGGAGAAACAAGTCATTGGCCACAATGTTCCTCTCTTGCAGCTTCTGGTTACAATCCCAACGATTATTGCTATCAGTATTTTGCATTTATATCAGGACAGTATGTCTTCCAGTCTCTTTTTTTATTTTGGAAGATCTTAACAAGAATATTCATCAAGATGGTAAAGGTGCCTGCCACCAAACCTGACGACCTGAACTTAATCCTGGGGACCCACAGGGTGGAGAGACTGACTCCTCCAAGTTGCCTTCAGTCCTTCACGGACACACACACATCCCATAAATATTTTAATTAAAAAAATTTTTTTCTGCATTTTACTGAGGCTCACAGAAGATGCAGAGTTGAGCCAGTCCTTGGTCCTACTTAGGTTGCAGATAGTGATAAAGGTAGCTGATGTCAGTCACTCCATCCTGCTTGGAAGCTGCCTCCTGGCAAAGCTGAACGTGACAAGTGACAAGTCTTGCTTGCTCTGTGTCCTCTGGGTCTCCCTGACTCCAGTTCCTCGCTGGAGGGGCTTTCCTGATAGGAGTCCAGTTAAGCAGCCTCCTTGTCTTCACACACCAAATCCTCCGAACTCTTCACTGCTCCCCTGACCACCCGAAAGGGGGCTCCGTGACCAGGTACCACCACATCGGCCACACATAGGATCCTCTCCCGGCTCCGCTGCTGAACTACCGGGTCTTCGCTCAGGGCCTGCCAGGAGTCCTCGTCCCCAAGGCGCTCGAACACATCACCAGCCACCACCACGGTGCCCAGGCTGGTGCCCTCCACTACGACACTCACGTCCCGCTGTCCTCCGTGGCCCGGCGTGGCCCACACCTGCAGTCCGGAGCCCAGTATCAAGGGCTGCATTTCACACAGCCCATGAGGCAGATAGAGGCCCCCGGGAAGGCAGAAGTCATGGGACACTAACAGAGCCGCCCGGGGAAACAGCCCTAGGTTCCCAATGTGATCCGAGTGCCCGTGGGTCCCCACCACCAGAGTCACGTCTCCGGGGGCCACGCCCTGCCTAGCCAGGGCTTCCAGCAGCGCCTCCCGAGCCCAGGGGCCCCCGGTGTCCACGAGGATGGGGCCACGCACCGCCTCCTCCAGGGCAGTCTTCGCGCCGCCGTCTGCGGACTGGGACCTTCGGCGGCTGGAATCCGAGGCCCAGGCCCGGGGCAGGACGAGGGTCACAGTGCCATCAGCACGCACCGCGTCGCCGGTCCCCTGCGGCTCCGCGTAGCCGCGCAGCAGAACCACCACCGAGTAGGAGTCGCTGGACGCCAGCAGAGGGGTCTCACCGTGCAGCGGCTCGGTCCGCACTGGACCGCTCATGGCAGGGAAGGAACTATACCCAGCCACGGACAGCTGCCCAGCACCTCCGAATTCCCACCTACCGCAAGCCCCGCCACTCTTTCGGTCTCAACTCGTTGCCACCCCCCAGCTCTTAAAGTGGTATCGCCTAAGATGGTATCGCCCTACCGGCCTTTCCACGCGACCTCGCCAGTGTCCCTTTAGGCTTGTAGACGGTAGGTCTTCACCCATCAACATTTTAAGGATATCTTTTCCCCCTCCATTCTAGCTCTAGCCGTTGACGACTTTGAAACCAAACTATCGCGGTCCTTAAGTCTTTTTTTACTCGGGGGTGGGGTGGGAGGAGGGAGGAGGGAAAACGGGAGGAATTTTGCTCTTTCCAGGCTCCCATACAAAAACTATGGTGGATGAAGCGGTAGCCACGTCGCTTAATTCTAAGCTCTGTGCAGTTTACACCACGTGTTGCACAAACGAGGTGGGTTTTTTTTTTTTTTTTTTCTCTATTTTCTGGTACAGGGTCTCATGTAGCCCAGGATGGTCCCGAACTTATTACGTAGCTGAGGAAGTCCTGAACTCTTGATCCTTTCGCCTTTACCTCCCAAGTGCTAGGATGATGAACGTGTAGCGCCGCTCTGGTACAGTTGTTTCCCCAACCCCTGCCAGTATCCTTGGGCGCAAAATTATAAACACCACTAGCTGTTAATAGACGGCAGGCCAAAGGCTCCACTGTTTGGGTGCTCCCTCATTGATAATCTGAGCATGTTTGAAATGGGGCTCAGCCGATTCATATAGAAAAAGGTTTAATAGGGATATAGAAAATATGGCACCTGTGAAATATGAAATAGGCCACATGTCTACACCACCTAACCTATCAGCATTGCGTCCCTCTTTGCCAGTGCCGTGTTCTTGTTTACAGATAGACGGCATACAGTCTCATGTTTGCAGGTTGTGTGTGTAGGTTGGTGAGTGTCCCTTTTTGGCTTAGTCTGAGACAGAGTCTCGTGTCGCTCTGGTTGGTCTTGAACTGCCACGTAGCTAGGTGATGGTTTTGAACTTCTGATATTCTTGCCTCCATTTCTCAAGTGCTGAGATTATAGGAGTTTGCCACCGAGGAGTTGCATCAGGTTTTATGTGGTCCAACTCACATCATTGTCCATACTAGGCAGACTTTCTACCAACTGAGCTACATCTGTAGCCCTCCTCTGGCCCCTTGAAAGGGTCTAAAATAGACCCTTTAAAAAGCAAAGAGACGTTCCCACAGCTCATACCATGACTGACCAATTGGTGCAGGCAAGGACCAGTAAAGGATAGAGAAAAGCTTCAACACTGTCACCACACACACTTGGTCAATTAAGTGGCTGCATGTGACTCATCACTGAAGGCAAAACTTGCCCCAGCTTCTCTCCACCTTTTTCTCCTCTCATGTTGCCATTCTGGGTCCCCAGGACCATGCCTGAGATTATACGAAAAGGACAGTTACAAGCCTTGGGATGGGGAAGAGAGAGAGTTTAGAAAACTCCCCATGACCCACCCACCCATCAAAGATCCTCTGGGTCATGCTTGGGATTGCCTGAAGTCTTGGTTATCTTCTCTTCCTCCTCTTCCCCCTCTTCCTCCTCCTCCTCTGCCTTCTCATGCCCATCACTGATCTTCTCCTTTCCAGTCCAGGTTTCCTGTAGACAAGCTAGGTAGAACGAGAGAAAACAATTGCAGTATTAATGCTGGGGATAGGGGAGCCAAGAGAGGAGAGGCCCAACCTCTACACTTACCAGTTTCAGAGGCTGGAAGCACATGACCTTCACAGAGAAAATGCTGTAGGGGCTGCTCCTGGTGGTGGAAGTACCAGTCTCCCACAACATCTTCAAATTCCTCCAGCATTGTCTCACACTGGTGAAGAAGAGCAGGAAGAGGATCTGCTCAGATGGGCCTTGGAAGACCTCTGCTTTTCACTCCCTGTCTTCCTTCTCCATTCACTGCCTTTTGAGAGGCAGCCAGCAGCCAGAAGATTACACCTGGAGTACTATGTGTGATTCTCTTCCTTCAACATTTACCAGTATCTATTACTATCTAATACCCAGTGTATCTACTCTGCTAGGTGGCAAATGCCTGTAATCCCAGTTGGGAGGTAGAGGCAGAAGGGTCATATATTCAAGCTTGTTCTCAACTACCTGGTGAGTTACAGAGCAGCCTGGACTATGAGTAATCCTGTCTCAAAAACTCAGTGCGTCTCAAATTCTAGCCTGTAAAGTGGGAACTGGTAATCACACCTGTGACATGAGAGTATAACAAGGCAGTAGTGTATGGCCCAGAACCCAGGACATAGTAGGTGCCCAGCAGGTGCCCAGTGGTAGTAATACTGCTATGCTTTTGAGCCTGCCTTAATAAATGGCACAGTCCTCACTCTCCGTCTTCTCCCTGCTCAGAGGTAGACATTCCTGACATCGAACCTCCCTGGACAGAGTGGCATCCCATCCTACCTGCTTCTTGAGGAATGTGACCTCCACGCTGGGCTCGTCCCATAGCTCCAAAGGGATCCCCAGGTCCACTTTCACTCCCTTCTGTACTAAGCCTTTCAGCGTCGCCATGGTCTGACTCTGACCCTGAGGGATGGAAAATTCGGTATTAGTCCAGTCCACCCCCTCACCTCTTCTTTTCCCTTTTCACCACACCAGCTTTATCAACTGCCGGAGACTCGTGGTGTGTTCTGTGAGAGAGTCTGGCTGTAATAGGGGGGACAGACTGGCAAATATTCCTTGAGGATCTTAGATGATAAAGGTCTCTGCTTCTGAGGAACAGGGTCCTGGGCTGGGGAGAGAGTTCAGTCAGTAAAATTTTGAGAACCTTAGTTCAGTCCCCAGAATCCATATTAAAAAAAAAAAGGGCCGGGCGGTGGTGGCGCACGCCTTTAATCCCAGCACTCGGGAGGCAGAGGCAGGCGGATCTCTGTGAGTTCAAGGCCAGCCTGGTCTACAAAGTGAGTTCCAGGAAAGGCGCAAAGCTACACAGAGAAACCCTGTCTTGAAAACCGGAAAAAAAAAAAAAAAAGGGAGAGAGAGAGAGAGAGAGAGAGAGAGAGAGAGAGAGAGAGAGAGAGACGTGGTGGTATAAGCCTACAATCACAGCACTGAGCAACAACAGACTGGTAGATTCTTGGCGTTCTCTGGCTAGCCAGCCTAGTTTGCTTGGAAAGTCAGTAAGCCAGTGAGACCCTGTCTCAAAATCAAGGTAGGAGCTGGGTGTGTGTGGTGGCACATGCTTTTAATCCCAGGACTTGGGAGGCAGAGGCAGGTAGATCTCTGTGAGTTTGAGGCCAACCTGGGCTACAGAGTGAGTTCCAGGACAGCCAGGACTGTTTCACAGAGAAACCCTGTCTCAAGAAACAAGAAACAAAAAAACAAGGTGGGTATGGCAAGATGTCTCAGTGGGTAACGGTACTTCCCACCAAGCCTCATGACCTGAGTTCAATCTGGAGAGAACAAGTTGTCCTCTGACCTCAGTAGTATGTTGTGACACATGCTCACACATGAAATAATTATGGAAAAACGAAATAAGGTGGATGGCTCCTGAGGAAAAACACCCAAAGTTGTTCTCTGGCCTCTCTACATGCACACACACACACACATACATGAACATACAGGGGAACATACAAAGCTTTAGAGGAAAAAAAAAAGAAAAATCAGCAGGGCCCTTCCTAAGAAATGCCTGACCTTGGCATATCTCAATGAGCCCTTGCGTTCAGCATGAACACTGTAATCCAGGATCCGCTCACATAAATTCTCCAAAGCCTCTTCCAATCTTGTCTCACTGTGGGAACAAGGGAAATAAGACTGATGTTTCAGGAACCTGGCAGCTCCTCTAGGTTTGGTTAGAAGGTGGATAAGACTCACGAAAGGCTGTAAGGCACGTGTCTCTTCCTCTTGCCTGTGTCCAGCACCTGCCCCAGCTCCAGTACTTCTCGAGATCGGCCTGTGCGACTCAGCTCTTCCTGTAGCTCCATGCTCAGCAGCTTACACACTGGTAATAAGGAGATACCCAAGGGGATGTAGACAAGGGATGACTCCTGAGTCATTCTGCCCATGATCCAAGGCAGCAGAGCATATAAGCATACGCTCTGGAGCCAGACTGGCCGGAGGAGGAGGAGGAGGAGACCGACTCAATCACAGTAGCTGTGTGACACTTGTGTATCTCAACTTCTTCACCTCTAAAACGTAGATAAGACTGTGTCTCTTACAGAGGAGTGATGATTTAAGTCCATCAATGTATGGGAAACCCCTAGAGCCATGTCTGGCATGTAGTGAGCACTGTGTAAGTACTTGCTCTCACTCTGACATTACTCATTGAGCTACTTTCCTATGTGTAAGTACAGATAGCATAAAACCCATCATGATGCATCCATGAAACACTGCTGGAATAGTTTGGGACTGATACATAAACAATGATGATACAGTGACAGTGATCCAGGGTTACAATCAAGAAACCTGTTTCCAGGGCTGATAAGATGGTTCGGCAGGTAAAGGAACCCACTGCCAAACCTGGAGGACCCACATAGTGGAAGGAGAGAACCGACTCCTCCATGTTATCCTCTGACCTCCACACACATACACAAAATAATTTTTTTTTAATTAAAGAGATTTAATCTCACCAGAAAATGTAAAATTCATCCAAAAGTCACCTACTGTATTGTAATTTCAATAAGGATGAACATATCTTTTCCACCATTGTCTTTCCCAGCACCTGATCTGGCACACGGTGGGCTGGGCTCTCAAAAGAAAAGTCTCCTATAGAAGTAACAAACTACGGCCGGGCACACGCCTTTAATCCCAGCACTCTGGAGGCAGAGGCAGGCGGATCTCTGTGAGTTCAAGGCTAGCCTGATCTACAGAGTTCCAAGGTAGCCAGGGCTACATAGAGAAGCCCGGTCATGAAAAAAAAAAACCAAAACAAGTCCCAGGAGAAGAGTGGGACACAGATGCAAAAAGAAGTGAAAGATTAGACTCAAGTAATGAGTAACAATGATAATAAAATGCAGTTGAGTGTAAGGTGAAGAGAGAAAGAACCCAAAGAAAAAGTAAATGTCAGGGAGGCAACACACCAGGGACCCACAGGATATTCAGTGACCTGGCTCCCTCCCGGTTGGGGGGCATTCACTCATGCAGCCAGAGACCACGCTGCTTGCTGTGAAATCCCTACAGTACACCCCAACTGCAAAGCCTCACACCGATGAGCAACTAACTTCTAAGTGGTGTGATGTCTCCCATCTTTTGTTTACCAGCTTCAGCTGCTGACTTACTCACCTTTAAACCCCTGGAGGGTGTCATCAGGGTTGTAATTTTCGAGCGTCTATGCCAGGGCGGGGCACAGGATGTCTAGAAGGTATGAACCTTACACCCCACCCATGCAAGGCTGTCAGATTTAGGTCTGGTGATTAACAGGGCGGGAAACGCAGTGAGGAAGATGCTCGGTAGACTGCGTTACAGGTCCTCGAACTACAATTCCCACAATCCATTGGGGCCCGAGCCTACAAGAAAAACCTGGCTGCTTCTGGATGCTGCCTGGGAAATGTAGTGTCACCCTAACTCTGATTTCTCTCCCTTGTTCCCATTCAAGAGTTACCAAGCGCCGGGCGGTGTTGGCGCACGCCCTTAATCCCAGCACTCGGGAGGCAGAGCCAGGCGAATTTCTGAGTTCGAGGCCAGCCTGGGCTACAGTGTGAGTTCCAGGAAAAGGCACAGAGCTACACAGAGAAACCCTGTCTCGAAAAACCAAAAAAAAAAAAAAAAAAAAGAGTTACCAAGCTCCAAAGAACTTTCAAGATGGTCGAGTGACCCATCTATCTTAGTCCATTTGAGCGAGCCTAGAGCTAGAGCTAGAGAGGCAGGAGGTGGGATAGACAGATGCAAATAAGAACAGCTCCTTTTCTATACCTTCGCATTTGCTGGGCAAACGTTCTGTGTCATCTTCCTCTTCTTTCGTCGTCCCTGCCCAAGCACTGTACGCTGCCAGGATGAAAAGCAGTATTTCCAACCGCACCGGTCCCATAACAAAACGCAGTCCACACATACACACAACCACCGTTTCCCTTCAGACTAACTCCTGGAAGGCAGCGGGCCCTTTAAATTTAGACGCAGCGGGCCACAAGTTTTTTTAAAAAAAAAAAAAAAATTCCATCGTAGGACGGTCAGCGCATGCTCAGAGCTAGCCCGAAAGTGGGTGGAGCGTCATGGCTCTGAGCTTCCCCGCCTCAGTTTTGTGGCGCCTTCTGAAGGTCCTGGCAGCTGGATAGTGAAGATACAGATTGAAGTAATTAGAATATAGTAATATTATCCTTACACATCTACGTAGAATACAATTTTTATATAATTTAAGACTGTGAGACGAGACGATCTGTTTTGATGTAGGGAAGAGCAGTGATAAGCTCTTGGCTTCTGCCAGGACCTACTCCTGTCAGGGGGCGGGGCCAAGATGGCGCCGAGCGCCGGGTGAGCGGCGCTTTGGCAGCGGTGAGAGGCTTTTACTGCTCCCAGTGCTTGGCTGGCGGGGGAAGGTCTGAGTTGTATCCGGGAGGAGACCCTTTGAAAGGGCCCATGTGAGAACTGGGAAGAGGACGGTTGGTTGTGTGTCCGTGCTCGTGGGGACTCTGTGCGTGTTTGCACTGGAAGGATGTTGGGGAGATGTAGTGGATTGTGAACCTCCTGTAGCGCTGCCCGGGGAAATCTTCGAATCAGTTCTCTTCTGAGGAAAATGGTGCACAGATCTAGCTCAAGTTATCCGTCCTCTGAGAAGTCTTCCTGTCGCTTCCACTGATCTGAGACGCTCCCGAGGCTGTTAGAGTGTTTTATGAACCCTTAGTGGCAGAGGGGACCGCAGGGGACCGGGACCCGACTACTTCTTGTATACCTGGTCAAAGGTACAGAGTATGTGCTGAATAATTGTATTCCCTGTAGACAAGATTTAACAAAAGTCTGAGAAGACCTGGCATGGCTTGAAAAGAACCAGTGCCCTTTGGCCTCTTTTGCCCGGCTCCCTAGCACTCAGTTCTGAACACTCTTGGGGTTGATCTTCCTATGTCCAGTGTCAGGCAAGCTCCTTTCCTTTTGACTACAGAGTAAACTCTAAGCTTGAGTCTGTGTCTTTTTCATTTCGGTAATTGTTATACCGAGTATTTATAGAACACTTACACCTTTAAGACTTAAAATTCTTTTATTTTAACAATGTCCCAGGTACCGATCTAGGTACCAAATAGATCAGTGAACATAATAGACATATTCCTGTCCACTGGTGAGGTCAGGATGATCAACAAGAAGAAATGATAGCTAGACCTGGTGCTGCACAGCTGTAAAAGGCAGGAGGAGCTCAGTTTCAAGGCTAGAGTGAGTTCCAGACAAGCCTCAGCAACTTACTGAGACTCACTTGTAGAGGGGTTGTTTAACATGTAGAAGGCCCTAGATTTAATCTAGAGTGAGATTATGTATATGTGTATATATATGATATATACACATATATATGTGTATATATATGAAGAAAATATGGCAAAGAAGTAAAGCCAGGCATGGTGGTACTTGCCTGGGATCCCAGCACTTGGGAGGTGAAGGCCGAAGGACTAGGAGTTAGGATCAGTGGGGTCTACATAGTGAATTCGAGGCCAGTCTGGGCTACATGAGACCCTGTCCCTAAGGAGGGGGGGTGAGGTCATGTAGCCAAGCTCATTTCAGGAAGACAACTGCAAAAGCTGTAAAACCAAGTGCATGTCTGTCTGTCAGACTGAAAGGACAACAAGGAGAATGGTGTGAGAATAAAGCGGCAGAAGGAAGGATATGTGATCAGAGATAGGATGAGAGAAAGGGAACTGAAAAGGAAACCCACTTTAGACAGGAACTTACTGCCTAGTCCAGGCTGGCCTCAGACTTACTGTCCCTGCAGAGTGCTGGATGACAAGTGTACCCTGTGCAAGGGTCTCATTGTGAAGCACACCCTGGTATGATACTCAGGGCGGTCCATTGAGAAGTGTTAACCCCGACACCTGGACAGGGAAGGCTTTGGGAGGGTTTGCTGTCAAAGGGGAACCATTACAGCAAAGAAGTGGTAACCTAGTTTATATTTTGACAGCAGCACAATATTTTAAGGAGTAGATGCAGGGAGGCTGAGATAGTAACAGGAACACTTTGTCAGGGGCTTTTAGAGTGTAGCAGGTGACAGGTAATGGTCACCTGGGCCAAAAAGGGTCTGGTTGGGCTGCCTGGTTCATTTTGAAACAGTGCTGGGATGAAACCCAGGCCCTTGTGCATGACCAGTACTTCTCGACCACTGAGCCACATCCTCCAGCCCTTACCTGGTGGATGTGATTCAAGGGTCCAGACAGGAATGAGTTGTGCTGGCTGTGGTGACACATGCCTATAGCACCTGGGAGGTATAGATAGCAGTATCAGGAGTTCAAGTTCATCGTCGGCTGTTTATGGAGTAGGAGGCCAGCCTGGGCTACAAGAGGCCCTACTTAAAAAAAAAAAAAAAAAAAAAAAGTCAGGTGGTGATGGCCCATACCTTTAATCCTAGCACCCAGGAGGCAAAGGCAAGCAGATCTCTGAATTTGAGGCCAGCCTGGTCTACAGAGCAAATTCCAGGTGAGCCAGGGCTACACAGAGAAACCCTGCCTGGGAGAAAAAAAAAAAGGAAAAAAATAAATGAAAACAAAAAACTGGTGTGGAGATGTAGCTCAGTTTTTAAGAGTATTTTCCTAGAAGACACAAAGCCCTAAGTTCCATCCCCAGCACAACAAAAACTGGGTATGGAGGTATATGTCTATAATCCCAGCATTAGGAGGGTAAAGACAGAAGGATCCAGAGTCAAGCCTATCTTTTGTTATCAGAGTTTGAGACTAGGCTAGGCTATAGAAATCCTGTCCCCAAAAGTAAGACAAAACAAAACAAATTGTCACTAGTCACGGCAATGCATGCGTATAATCCCAGTGCTTAAGAAACAGAAGCGGAGGGTGGGTGTGTTGAATGCCTTCAATCCTGGCACTTGGGAGGCCGAGGCAGGTGGATCTCTTTGAGTTCAAGGCCAGCCTGGTCTACAAAGCGAGTTCCAGGACAGCCAGGACTACACACAAAAACCCTGTCTTGAAAGACCAAAAATAAAATTAAATTTTAAAAAAAGAAAGGAGAAGAAAAGAAAGGCAGAAGCAGGAAGCTGGAATTAGAAGTGTTTGGGCTACATAGTGAGCCCGTGTCCAAAATAAGTAAATAAATAAAAGGACAAGCCAAGTTACTGGGTGATAGCATTGCTTTCAAGATGAGCTGAAGTGGAAGCAAGAAGAGAGGGCGCTCAGGTTTAGGTTTTGAATTGTTTTTCTTCTTGCCCCATCCCACTACCAGTGGCTCCATCTCTCCACCCTGGGGTGGCATCCTTCCAGGAACAGGAGTTGGAATTCCAGTATGGCCGAGGAGAAGAAGCTGAAACTCAGCAATACTGTGTTGCCCTCTGAATCCATGAAGGTGGTGGCAGAATCCATGGGCATTGCTCAGATTCAAGAGGAGACTTGCCAACTACTGACAGATGAGGTCAGCTACCGCATCAAGGAGATTGCCCAGGTAACCCTTCTGCCCAGCCTTGCTTTGTGTTAAAGATTCAGCTTACTGCCGGGCGGTGGTGGCTTTCGCCTTTAATCCCAGCACTCGGGAGGCAGAGGCAGGCAGATCTCTGTGAGTTCGAGGCCAGCCTGGGCTACAGAGCGAGAGCCAGGAAAGGCGCAAAGCTACACAGAGAAACCTTGTCTCGAAAAACAAAAAAAAACAAACAAAAAAAAGGATTCAGCTTACTATGTAACTGAGGATAACCTGCCTCCACCGCCCACTGCTGGGATTGCAGGATGTCCTACCATGCTGTTTTTGTGATGCTGGGCATTGAATTCGGGTCCCTGTGCATGCTGGGCAGTGCTTTACCCCCTGAGCTATATTCCTCAGGGTCTTAGATTAACACCTCTTCTCCTCCTAACCCCTAGGATGCTTTGAAGTTCATGCACATGGGGAAGCGGCAGAAGCTCACTACCAGTGACATTGACTATGCATTGAAGTTAAAGAATGTGGAGGTGATTTGGAGGGACTCGGAGGGGACAGGAGGCTTCAGAGTGGGGAGACAATGCACATGTAGCCATGCCTCCCTTGGCCACTTCTCATGTCTTTTTCTGTCTCTCCTGATACAGCCACTGTATGGCTTCCATGCTCAGGAATTCATCCCTTTCCGTTTTGCCTCTGGTGGGGGCCGGGAGCTTTACTTCTATGAGGAGAAGGAAGTGGACCTGAGTGATATCATCAACACCCCTCTGCCTCGGGTGCCTCTGGATGTCTGCCTCAAAGGTGGAGGGAGGGTAGAGCTGGGTGTGTGGGGAGGAGGGAAAGGAGGCATGTGATTGGGGGTAACCTCACAAGTGAAGAAACAAACATAATGTGAGATCCCTGGTGCATGGCAAGAAGGGGACCGGGAAGGAACACACACCTTCCTTTGTATGGGGTGACACCCGTGTCCATGCCCAGTAACTCAGCTTGACATCTTCCTTACAGCACATTGGCTGAGCATTGAAGGCTGCCAGCCAGCTATACCAGAGAATCCACCCCCAGGTAACATTTTCCATGGCCAGAGCCAAGCCTCCTCCTTCTCCTCCCTCATCCCTGGTCCTGTGGGGCTCCTCCACCTTCTTACCACTCCTCCTGTGACCACTTCCCCACCAGCACCCAAAGAGCAGCAGAAGGCTGAGGCCACAGAACCCCTCAAGTCAGCAAAGCCAGGCCAAGAAGAAGATGGACCCCTGAAAGGCAAAGGTCAAGGGGCAGCTGCAGCTGATGGCAAAGGTGAGGATCCAGGCCAGGCCTCTCCCTGCTCTTATCCCAAAGCCAGATGGTCCTCAGTGAAGTAGATAAAGTCAGAGACAGAGGAACCCCAGAAAGGCCTAGAAGGCTAGAGAAGGGCTACATGTTGCGGTGGGGGTTTGCCCTGTACAGAAGCCTCTTCTGGAGCTTGCTTTTTTAGTACATGTGTACACATGTGTATGTGTGTTTCTGTGTCAGGTGCAGGTGTGTGTGTGACCAGAGGATCATCTTAGCTACCAGTCCTCATGTGTGATCTACCTCTTTTTTTTTTTTTTTTTTTGAGACAGGGTCTCAATGGCCTGGAAATCTTCAGTTAGGCTAGGCTGACCAGCCAGCAAGCCCCAGGGATCCTCCTGTCTCCGTTTTCCCCAGCACTAAGATTACAAGTGTGCACCCAGCTCTTATATGACAAGCACTTTACTGACGAGCCATCTCCCCAGCCTGAGCTTTCTTTCTCAAGCCTGTCTCCCCAATTCACACAGGAAAAGAGAAGAAAGCACCTCCTTTGCTGGAGGGAGCCCCTTTTCGCCTGAAGCCCCGCAGCATCCATGAGCTGTCTGTGGAACAGCAGCTGTATTACAAAGAGATCACAGAAGCCTGTGTAGGATCCTGTGAGGCCAAGAGAGCGGTAAGCCTGCCCTCTGGCCTGCCTTCGCACCAGGGGAGAATCCCGGAACAGCAGTAGTTTTCCTACAGTAAATGGTCTGCCTGACTCATTGCCCCCTCCAACAGGAAGCTCTGCAGAGCATTGCCACCGACCCGGGGCTCTATCAGATGCTACCACGGTTCAGTACCTTCATCTCGGAGGGGGTGAGAGAACTGGGAAAGGCCAGACCCAGGATGAGGCTCCAAGGAAGGGGGTTGGCAAGGGGAGTCCATCTGAGGCGTCTCTCTGCCCCTCCCCCAATTTTCCCTTTCCTAGGTCCGTGTAAATGTGGTCCAGAATAACCTGGCCTTGCTCATCTACCTGATGCGCATGGTGAAGGCCCTGATGGACAACCCCACACTGTATCTAGAGAAATATGTGAGTGGTCTCGCCTACCTCCTGTCTTTTCCAAGGTCAGGTCCCCTTCTGCTGACCGCACCACAGGAGATCAGGTATCAGAACTGGCTTATGTTGCCTGGTCTCCCTCAGGTGCACGAGCTGATTCCAGCAGTCATGACCTGCATTGTGAGCAGACAGCTGTGCCTGCGGCCGGATGTGGACAATCACTGGGCACTCCGGGATTTTGCTGCCCGTCTAGTGGCCCAGATCTGTAAGCATTTCAGCACAACCACCAACAACATCCAGTCCCGGATCACCAAGACATTTACCAAGGTGAGTGCCAAAAATGTATCAGATGAATCAGATGATGCAAATCACCTCTCCAGGGTTATCCCCAAGAAAGAAAGAACTTCACCCACCTGGCAGTGGAAAGATACCCAGAACATGGGGCAAAGACGAGCCAGGGAGACTGGGTCCAAGGGTCTTGATTGAACCTGTGTCTTAATGCTTTATAAGTGTTTATAGGTGATGTCAGTCCTTAGCAATTAGTCTTTCCTTTTTTGAAACAGGGTGTCATGCATCCCAGGCAAGCCCTAACCCTAACCCTCTAACTCTAATTAAACTCTGTGTAGCTGAGGATGGCTTTGAACCTTTTTTGAGGGGAGTGGGGTTTGAGACAGGGTTTCTCTGTTGTAGCCCTGGCTGTCCTGGAACTAGCTCTGTACACCAGGCTGGCCTCGAACTCATAGAAATCCACCTGCCTCCCAAGTGCTAGGATTAATGTCGTGTGCCACCACTGCCTGGCAGCTTTGAACTTCTAATCTTCCTGTCTCTCTCTCATATGTACCAGGATTACAGGCATGTACCACCAGGCCTAGTTTAGCAGTTAGCCTTTCCAAACCTTTTCATCTGGTTTTTTCTTCTTTCTTTCTCTGCAGAGCTGGGTAGATGAGAAGACTCCATGGACAACTCGATATGGCTCCATTGCAGGCCTGGCAGAGCTGGGACATGATGTCAGTGTCCAGAGGGAAGAGCTGGGAGAGGGGCGTTCACATGTGGGGTGGGAGAGACCTCTGGTGACCTTCCAGTCTGGCTTCTCCCCTTCCTTCCCACCAGGTGATTAAGACGCTGATTCTGCCAAGGCTGCAGCAGGAAGGGGAACGGATCCGCAGTGTCCTGGATGGGCCTGTGCTGAGCAACATTGACCGTATCGGAGCAGACCATGTGCAGAGCCTTCTCCTGGTGACGAACCCCCACCATACCCCCCACTTCTTCCCAGGAGCTCCACTCCTAGCTCCCACAAACACAGCTACAATGTTTAGCAAGCACGAGGCACATCTTAACCCTTACTCTTCAGAGGCCAGCACTGTGGTGTACATGGAAAGCTCAGCACAAACAGGAACAGAGGCCTTAACAGTCACTAACTTCTGGACTGCACTGCCCTCACCTTACACAAGGCACATGAACACCCCATCTATGTCATCACTAGATACAGCGAATCCTGTTCATACCAGCCAATCCGTATGGAAGGAAACAGTTTGTTTTTTATTTGTTGACTCTTACAGATGGGGTCTTGCCTTGGTTAGTCTGGAACTTGTGAGGTAGACCATGCTGGCCCTGTGGCAATCCTGCTGCCTCTGCTTTCTTGAGTGCTGAGATTACAGCAATGCACCACCACACCCACTGAGATCATCCTTTTTATTTTTACAAGTTTTCTTGTATGTTTGTATGAATGGACACTGTGTGTACAGATGCCCACAAAAGCCAAAGGAAGGCAGCAAATCTGGAACTGGAGTTCTAGGTGGTTGTGAGCAAGCAACCTCTGGAAGAGCAAGTGCTCTAAACCTCTGAGCCACCTCTCCAGTCTCCCTTTCCCTTCTTGCCTGTGTGCTGCTGGGAATTGAACCTAGGCCACGTGCATGTTTTCAAAGCACTCTACCACTGAGCTATAGTCTCCTTGGCCCTTTTTTTCATTTTGAGACAGCCCAACTGTCCAGGCTAGCCTTGACGTTCTCTTTGTAGCTCTGGCTAGCCTGGAACTCAGTGGTCCTCCTGCATGAGTGCTGGGACTACCAGCATGAACCACCACACCCAGCTCAGATGCGTTCCTAATGGGAGAACAGTAGCTTTCATCACGGCCTCCAACAACAGCAGTGGGTGAGCTCCTCTCACGTTTGCTGCAGAGTACCAGCCCTCACTTTGCCTTCTCTGCAGAAACACTGTGCCCCAGTACTGGCGAAGCTGCGCCCTCCACCTGACAATCAGGATGCCTACCGGGGAGAATTTGGGTCCCTTGGGCCCCTTCTCTGCTCCCATGTGGTGAAGGCCAGGGCCCAGGCTGCTCTACAAGCTCAGCAGGTCAACAGGACCACACTCACCATCACACAGGTCAGCCGCTGAGGTTTGGGACAGGACTTGCCAACGCCAGCAGTCTCAGGGAGCCTCACCCTACTGCCACCCCCAATGAAGAGCTAAGAGCAAGTGCAACCTAGGTCTGCCTTCAATGTTGACATTTTCTTCCTGTCTCTCCTCATAGCCTCGGCCCACACTGACCCTCTCGCAGGCCCCTCAGCCAGGCCCTCGGACCCCTGGCTTATTGAAGGTTCCTGGTTCCATTGCCTTGCCTGTCCAGACACTGGTGTCTGCTAGAGCTGCTGCCCCTCCGCAGCCTTCTCCTCCTCCAACCAAGTTTATCGTGGTGTCCTCGTCTTCCAGTGCCTCTTCGACCCAGCAGGTGTGGGGCCAGGGTGAGGGTGTCAGGGGCACCTGGGCAAAGTCTCCAGTGGAGGTCTAACCCCTCCAGGCTCAAACTCAGAAGGTAGGAGGGCCCCTTGTCAGGATCTTGGAGGCCTCAAGCTAGCAGCAGTCTCCTGGATCTTGACCCCTCACTGGGGACTGCAAGGGAACATGGGAGCAGAGGGAAGCAAGGACAGCATGACGCAGGCCCTCCAGGTGTGAGGCAGGCAGCACATAGTCCCCACAGTCATACTGCCCTCCTTTCTCCCCCAGGTCCTGTCCCTCAGCACCTCAGCTCCTGGCTCAGGCTCTACCACTACCTCTCCCGTCACCACCACGGTTCCCAGCGTGCAGCCCATCGTCAAGCTGGTCTCCACGGCCACCACCGCACCCCCAAGCACAGCCCCTGCTGGCCCTGGCAGTGTTCAGAAATACATCGTGGTCTCCCTTCCCCCGACAGGCGAAGGCAAAGGAGGCCCTCCTTCTCATCCTTCTCCAGTCCCTCCTCCATCGTCTTCACCATCCCCACTGGGGGGCAGTGCCCTCTGTGGGGGAAAGCAGGAAGCTGGGGACAGCCCCCCTCCAGCTCCAGGGACTCCAAAGGCTAATGGCTCCCAGCCGACTGGACCTGGCTCCCCTCAGCCTGCTCTGTGATAGCATCACATCTGCTGACCTCCTCTTGTGCAGATTCCTCCACGCACCAAGAACGCGGGAGGGAGGAGGTTGTTTCCCCTAGTGACTTTTCTTTTTAGATACTGTACAGTAAGTTCCTCAGAATAAAAGTTGGATTTGTAAGTTTGTGAGCCTCCCTGCGTCACATACAACAGACGGGATGAGTCCGTGGAACCTTCCTGGTCTTGGGACTCTTCCTGTCCAGATCCAAAGACACAAGAAAGAAAATGTCCTCTTCCCGTTCAACTGCCTGCTGACTTGGCTGTCCATATCCTCGTTTGGGGAGTTTCAAATCCGAATTACGTAGGCGTTGCTGTGGCTCAGGTGTCGCACCCACTTGTGAGGGTTGGCACTGCCACAGGCACTAAAGGACAGCCTGAGGAAGCGCACCTGGAGGCCAGAGCATGTATGCCGAGGGAGTTCAAAGGAGAGGCTGGCAGGACCCAGCCCCAAGGGGGGCGCTGATGGGGAGGGCCCATGGCTGGGAGGCCCCTGTGAGCCAGGGACATCCATCTGTAAGTAAAACAGAAGATGGGAGGCTAGACAGCCACCTGGCACCAGGACTGGGCTGTTGCCGAAGGTGCGTGAGGAGGGAAAATGCATACCTGGAAAAGGCCTGAGAGCTGAGAGCCTCCTTGTACTCGAGGCAGGTCCCAATGGAGGGCTCCTTCTACCAGCTCTGCCTTCTGATCTGGGCTGCTCAATTCCTGAGACAGGCTGGAAGGGGGACAGGGAAGATGTTAAGTGACTACTTCCTTGGTAGAACGGAGGCTCTCCCCAGGGAGTCTTCCCAGCAAGCATGCTGACCTGACTACCCCTCGAGGCAGGGGAAGGTGCAGATGAATGTTGAGAGCTTGGCTGCAAAGAGGAGAAGAGAGTCAGCTCCAGGATGGCAGTGTCTTATCTGTTTGCATTGTTCTTGAGACAGTCTTGTGCAATTTAGGATGACTTTGAACTTCTGAGTTTCTTTCCTCCAGTGCTAGGATTACAGGAATGCACCACTACACTTGATGTGGTGCTGAGGATCAAACCCAGGGCTTTGTGCATACTAAGCAAGCATTCTACATGCATCCCCAGCCCCTGCTCTGTTTCTCCTTCATGTTCCAACAGGAGTTCAGCACAAACACATTCCCTCCTCTAACCCTTTCCCAAATGCCGTAACCTCTGACACAAGTGGAATTTAAAGGTGGTAGATGCAAATACCGGTTTGTTTTGAGACAGGGTCTCACTGTGAAGCCCAGACTGGCTTCAAACTGGTGATTCTCCTGCCTCAGCCTCCCAACTGCTGGGATTACAGGCACACACCACACTACAGGGCTTTATACATCTGCAGGAAGAATTAGCAGGCCCTTGGCCCTGTTTCCTGTCCTAGACAGTCAAAGTGGGCTTGAGGAACCAGCCCCCACTCTTTTTTGTGTTTTGTTTTTTGAGACAGAGCTTTATGGCTTCAAACTCCCTATGTAGTTGAGATTGGCCTTAAACTCCTGATCTTTCTGTCTCTGTCTCCCAAGGGCTGGGATTATAAGTGTGTACCACTAAGCCCAATTTAGCTAGCCCCAACTCTTACCTCTTTGGTGGCAGGTCACACCGTAACTTCAGGTAAATCTGGAGCCTGGAAAAGGTGGCATACAATTATTTACAACGTATCCTGTTGGCATTCCATGGCTGCTTATCCGGGGCCTCCAGGGGAGGCTGTATAAGTTGTACCCTAAGAAGGAAAAGGGCTGAAAGCCATCCCAACAACACTAGCCAATACTTTTTTCAACCTGCCTGCTATCATCTCTGCCTCCCTTCCATATTAACCCTAACCCTTCCATGTTAAGCTGTGGCTCAGAGGAGTTGTAAAACACAAAACTAGTCTCACCGGCCTGAACCTCGGTCCCACTGTACAGAGGGAAAGAGCCGGAAGGGGAGCGGAGAGGGGAGGTCATCAGACAGTTGGTATCTCATCACGGTCAGCTGAGGCCAGAGAGGAACAGGTCAGCGTGGTCTTGCCCTGGTACTGCCTCCCTCCCCTCTGGTGGATGGAATATACCGGGCCACCCTGAACCTGACCTCGCCCTGAGGTGGCTGCAGGCGGAGGATCCGATGAGACTCAAACTCATCCAGATTGACAGAGCTATGGAACGACACCTCATCAACTCGGATGCCTGGCCCATATCCTGCAAAGAGAAGAAGATGGCTCTCCCGACCCGTGATTGGAAGGGAAGAGACATTTCCAACATCTCTCCATGATATTTATGGAGAGGAAAAAAACTCATGCTCCCCTTACCTCTCAGTTCTGACTTTCCCACACAAAATTCTTCTGTCAAGCCTATGTACATCTCTGTGGGAGGAAAGGACTTGAGAAAGGGCATCCAATACCACCGCACACATCACCAGGAAGCCGTGCCACACTTAACCATGGGTCCTCACCAGAACCGCTAGGAAGGAAGCTCTTGAGCCGTATCTCTCCTTGGACATCCACCTTCAACAATGAGCCCTGGGGATAGGAAGGAAGTTAAAGACTCCGCTGTCCCCAACTACCATTTACCTTCAACTCCAAGGGGTGTGGGGACACGGACCCAGACTTACATTAGATGCAATCAGTACAGACAGCCTCTCGACCACATCTAAAAACACTTCGTTCTTTTGGCTCTAAGAAAGAGAGGATGTGAGTTGTGGAGGCTGAAAACCTGTTCTAAAATGGACAAGCAATGCCAGGCACGGTGACACATGGAAGCTGAGGTAGAAGGACTGCCATGAGTTCAAGGCCAGCCTGGGTTACAATGTGAGAGCCTGGGTTACCTGATGAGACCCTGTCTCAAAAGACGAAAGAATAGGAACTACAGGGATGGCTTAGTCAGTAAAGTGCTCGCCACGTGAATGTGACAACCTGAGTCTGATCCCCCATATCCATGTGAAAGTCAAGTGTGGGGATGCGAGCCTGTAATACCTACACTAGGGAGGTGAAGATACACACATCCCTGAGGCTCACTGGTAGGCCAGCCAGCCCAGCCTAGTCAGTGAGCTCCAGGCTAATGAAAGGGCCTGTCTCAGAGAAGAATGGAATTCCTGAGGACAACATCCAAAGCCTAGTCCTTTGGCCTCCACACAAATGCATGCACCGCATGTATACACATACAGGAAAACATAACAGAGGCAGTAGAAGGGACAGGGTAGTCGAAGTAGAGCCCTGGGATAGGAGCCCAGGAATAATGGAAGGAATATCATGTAAAAAGGAGTGAAGAGATAAGCCAAGCTCTTGGACTCTTGGGTGTTAGGAATAAAAAAAAAAAAAATCATCAAGTCTGGCCTCACTGATCTCTTACCTGGTCAGAGCGACTGGACAAGACCGGTCGACTGGCTGCACTGCTTGGGGCCACTCTGTTCTGCTGTGTCTCTGCTCCGAACTGTAAAGCACCCAAGGCAACCAATCCTCAGCTTTGATGCTCACAGCCAACCCTCCTGGCCCCTCCTCTTTCCGTGCTACTGACCAATCCAACGCTGCTGAGGTCAAAGAGGCTGAAGGGCTTGCTGACCACAGCTTCGGTTTGGATGAAGTTCCGGAGCATTTCCGTGGATGTAGTCTGCACATAGCCATAATCCTAATGGATAGAAAGAGTGGAACGGAGTGGATTTGGCCTCCTAACCACAAAACTCTACGCTAGAAGAGAGGACACTTCTTCAGGGTAGCAGGGAACAAGGGAAGGAAGTCCTTGGGGCTGGGGAGATGGTGCAGTGGGTAAAGGGCATGCTCAGTAAGTGTGAGGACCTGAACTCAATCCCCAAAACTCGAGTGAAAAAAAGCTGGACATGATAACGAACATCTGTAATTCCAGTGATCTCATTTGGAGATGGGAGATGGAGACAGGAGAACCCCGGAAGCTTGCGGGCTAGTTAGTTTAGTGTATGTGCACTGGAAAACAAAGAGACCCTGCCTTTTGTCTGTCTTTTTCTTCCTACCCACCCCCCACCAAGTTCTTCAAGACAGGATTTTTCTGTGTGGCCCCAGATGTTCTAGAATTCACTCTGTAGAACAGACTGGCCTTGAACTCAGAGATTCACCTGCCTCTGCCTTTCCAGCACACCACCACACCTGGCTTCTTTTTCCAATTTTTTGGGACAAGGTCTCCTTGCTATGCAATCTTGGCTGGCCTCAAACTCATTCTGTAGACCAGGCTTGCCTCAAAATCAAAAGTGGTCCATCTGCTTCTGGGTGCTGGTATATTAAAGGCATGCACCACCATGACTAGCAAAAGACTTGTCTGGAACAAGGTAGAAGGTAAGGACCAATACCCGAGATTGTCCAACAGAAAAGAAAGAGAGATCCTGTGCAATCACTCAGCTGGTAAAGGTGCTTGCTACCAAGCCAGTCAACCTGAGTTCAATCCCAGGGACCCAGACAGTAGGAGAAAACTGTCTCCTGCAAGTTATCCTCTGAACTCTACTCATGTGCAGTGGTGTGGGCAACCACATACATACACACACAAAATGAAAAAATCAAATTTTTAAAGAGGAAAGTCTTTGGGCTTTACCAGCACTTCATCCAGGAGTTCGTAAACAAGAGCCACATTCCGTGAGATGGTTCCCTCACTGAGTGAGCCACAGTAGTCACCCAAGAGAGTGGCTAACCTAAGGAGACATAGTTGAGTATGTGTGAATAAACCTCTCAGGTCCTCCTTCTTAGGTGGATGTCCCAGCCCTACTCACCGGGAAAGCAGCTCCAAGAGGCTGAAAGGAGAGACGTTTTCTGAGGTTGTGGCCACCAAATAGAGACCACTGTGTCTGACGTGAATGAAATGACGATCATCATGATACTGAGGCGGAGTTGGGGAGAGAGGCATTAAAAGACCAGAATTGCAGTAACGTAGCCTGTGAGATGGCACCCTACAGTCGCTACTAGTGATAGTAGAAAATGTGACTTTGGGTGATCCCTGAGACCTCTCAAAGACCTGGCCTCCTAATGTGTAACCTACCTCTCAGAGTTGTTGACAGTCAAGAGATGGGGGTGCAAGGCTCTGTCTCTGGCGTCTTGTTCACTCAATACACTTTTCTTACTTGGAAAAATGTACCCCTCCCCTCCCGGGAAGCTTCCTATCAAGCAGCCCTTGAAAGGGAGATCTAGATGAGGCACCCATCAAGCTCCACAGTCCTAAGCCCCTGCTTGCCCGCCACAAGTGGTTACCATGACAACCGGAGACTCGCCTCCAGGCAGCCCCGTCAGCTTCCGGTAAAAGAGCTCGGCCACATCACGACCACCACTGTCCCCGCGAACTGGAAGGATAGTTAAGGACACGGGCGACACAGAATGACTCTGGGCTCGATTTCTATCAGCTACTCCACTCCGTCTCGCCGGTCAAGGATACAGTCTTTGTAGATGAGCGGGTCCCCCTTGGAGGACAGAATGAAGAACTGGGAAATCATGGCCGTTCTGGAGGACAGACGAGAAGACGGTGAAAGTTGAACCCACCCCGCCCTGCGGTCGCGGAACAAAAGGACGCAGGGAGGCTGGCGCTTTAAGAAACACTCCTCCCACACCCACACGGGCGAGCAGTAATTTTGAACCGCGGGAAACCGGGTGCCCAACCCGCCTGGGCTCGGCCATCTCCCTCCGGCCCGCCCCTCTCGCCCCCTGTCATTCAACCCAGACTCGTCCAGTGATTGGATAAAGTTGGTTGCCGGCAGCGGTTAGGAGCCCCCTGTCTGATTGGCCCGTCCTCAGCGGCACGAGTCACGTGGGTATGGACGTTTCGCGCCAATTTCGGTTGGTCGGCTGCATCGCGCCGCGCGCTCGTTCTGTGCTTCCCCAGAGTGAGACTTCTCAGCTCGCCCGCTCCTGTCGCACGGTCCCCGGCAGCGATGGCGCTTAAGGACTACGCGATCGAGAAAGGTGATAGGCTCTAGGGCTGGGATTGGCGTCCTCCGAGGGAAGCTTCTCCACCGACACCTGTTGAGGGAAGCTGGCGTCTTGAGGGGAGCTGGGGTCTGTGGCTCTGGGGACAGGCGGACTGCGCCCGAGACAAGTGTAGCGGGCATCAGGATGGAAGCAATCCTGATTGGAGAAGGTGCTGTGGTTGTGTGAGGGGGAGGACCCAGCGGAGGCCACGAAGAGGAGGGGCGCTCCAGAGAGACAGCTGGGTGACGTGGAACCTTCAGTACATGGCCGGAGGCCCCGGGAAACCGGGCCTGCCTCTGCGCTTTGGGGCGCTAGAGAATTCCCGCGTCCACTCGAGACGCGCCGGAGTTCGGAGGCGGGGCTTGCCCGGCCGCTACGCGCCGGGATTGGTTGTTTTAGGCCGCCCTCCAAGCGGAAGTAGAGGCGGACGGAAGTGGCGCTACTCCATCGGAGGGAGTGTCGTGTGTAAACAGTGTCCTTCCGCGCGGTGGCCTCGGAGGTCGCTGCCGTGGGTAGGGGCGTGCCTGGAGTCGGGAGACTGAGCGCCCGGCGGCGAGAGGTGGCAGTGAAGTGGACCCGAGTGGCCCTTCGGCGTGCTGGCCAATCGCCGCACGGCCACCCGCCTCGGGCGGAGGAATCCTGGGCTGTGAGGCGGCTGGAATCCGGGCCCATGTGCTTCTTTGTTTACTAAGAGCGGAAGCAGTGGCGGGAGCGGGGTGTGGGGTGCAGAGGAGGCCTAGTGGCGGACGTCCCGGCGGGAGCAGAAGAAAAAAAAAGAGTTGTACTGGTGGAAGGAGAGCCGAGAGTCGATTGTGTGCGAGCTGAGAGAATTGAAGAACCTGAGATTCTTAACTAAGGCAGTGAGTGAAATTCTCTTGGGAACGTTGGAGTAAGACTCACTCTTGTAACTGCCCGGGGACCTGTGTTCTTCCCCAGGTAAAAGCAGACTTGTGCAAAGGAGTACTGCCTACTTTGGGGAGAACTAGGTAGGCTTGTTTTGAATGTTCATTTAATTAGCTCACAGGTCCCGTCTTAATTGGAAGTGGGTTTCTTAGGTTTCCGTTAAGAACTTGAAGTAAAGAATCCGAAAGGAAGCTTGTGTCTGGAATATTTGGTACACTATTGTGTGTGGGACCGCGCGCGTGTGCTGCACGAGTATATCACGGCTTACACGTGGGTGTTAGGCAGCCTCGGGAGTCGGTTCTCTTTCAACCTGTGGGTGGGCACCAGGGATTGAACTCTGACCATCAGGCTTGGCAGCAGTGGCCTTTACACCTCGCTGTGCTCAAAGATTTGTTTTTGATTTTACATTTGTTTGTAGAAAAAGTTAAGAAGTTCCTGCAAGAGTTTTATTATGATGATGAACTTGGAAAGAAGCAATTCAAGTATGGAACCCAGTTGGTAAGTCCCAGGATTGGTTATGGGGAGTTGGGGTGGCATATAAGAACTTGTACAAGGTGGCCTACCTTGTTTGTAGAAAGTCTTCATTTTAGCTTTGGGTTTTGTCTTTTTCTTAACTGTTTAAGTTATATTTGTGTATGTGTGGAGGTCCATTCTCCCACCATGTGGGTTCTGGAGTTCAAACTCTGTTCTTCAGGCAGGATGGCAAGTGCCTAACCCATTGAGTCATCTCTCCCATTCCTAGCTCTTGGTTTTTTTTGTTTGTTTGTTTTTGGGGGGGGGGGTTTCGAGACAGGGTTTCTCTGTGTAGCTTTGCGCCTTTCCTGGAACTCACTTGGTAGCCCAGGCTGGCCTCGAACTCACAGAGATCCGCCTGCCTCTGCCTCCCGAGTGCTGGGATTAAAGGCGTGCGCCACCACCGCCCGGCATAGCTCTTGGTTTTTAGAAATAGTGTTTGTGTGGCCTGAACTGGCTTTGGGAACACCTTCTGTAGTTACATAGCTGGGGTTGGCTGTGAGCTCCTGGCTTCCTGTCTTGGGTATCCTAAGCACTGGGATTACCAGCACTTGCCTGCTATGTCGGTTACCACCACATTCATGAGTTTGGAAAGTTTTCTTCAGAGCTGAAAAGTAGCTCTCTACTGTGTTCTTTCTTCTGGGGGATGGCCAGTGACTTAGATGAGTTTTTGTAGGTGAGGTAAACTTGACCCTAAAGTAGTATTACTGTCTTTTCCTTGCCTCAGGTTCATCTGGCTCATCGGGAGCAAGTGGCATTGTACGTGGACCTAGATGATGTCGCTGAAGATGACCCTGAGTTGGTCGACTCAATTTGCGAGAATGCCAAGCGCTACTCAAAGCTGTTTGCTGATGTTGTACAAGAGCTTCTGCCTGAGTACAAGGAGAAGGAGGTAGGTTGCTGGTTTCTGAGCTCACCTGCCTGGTGCCCGCTATACTTTTTGGTTTTTCAAGACAGGGTTTCTCTGTAGCTTTGGTGCCTGTTCTGGAACTCGCTCTGTAGACCAGGCTGACCTCGAACTCACTGGAATCTGCCTGGCTCTGCCTCCTGAATGCTGGGATTAAAGGCGTGAGCCACCACCACCTGGCCTACTCTTTCTATCTTGCCCCTCACGTTTCCTTTGCGCCTCCCTGGAACTCACTTGGTAGCCCAGGCTGGCCTCGAACTCACAGAGATCCGCCTGGCTCTGCCTCCCAAGTGCTGGGATTAAAGATGTGTGCCACCACCGCCCGGCACGTTTCCTGTTTTTAGGTGGTGAATAAAGATGTCCTGGATGTTTACATTGAGCACCGACTGATGATGGAACAGCGGAGCAGAGACCCAGGGGCAGTCCGGAACCCTCAAAACCAGTATCCTTCCGAGCTCATGCGGAGATTGTGAGTGTCTTGGTGGGCAAGATTGGGGACTTGTTCTCCAGGACTTTGCTGACAAACGTTTCCTTCTCTTAGCGAGTTGTATTTCCAAGGCCCAAGTAGCAGCAAGCCTCGGGTGATCCGGGAAGTGCGGGCTGACTCTGTGGGGAAATTGGTAACCGTGCGTGGGATTGTCACTCGTGTCTCTGAAGTCAAGCCCCGGATGGTGGTGGCCACATATACTTGTGATCAGTGTGGGGCAGAGACTTACCAGCCGGTATGTATACAGTAGGGAACAAGAAAATACTTGTCTGGGTTCATTGTTCTTGAAATAAGTAATTGTTTCACTGATTATAATCTGTCATTTTCTCTCTCTGACTATTGCAACAGTTGCTGCAGGATTCATTTTTAATTCTTTGGTAGTGATCTGATCTCTAGTCATTTTGTTTTATCAATGTCTCTGCTTGACTCAGAATATTTCAATGGGTTCTTACACTTTCAGAATGTCTTGTCACAGCAGGAATGATTCCTGTGGTGATTGTTTTGATTTCCTATTTCCGTTCCTTTCTAGATTCAGTCTCCCACCTTCATGCCTCTGATCATGTGCCCCAGCCAGGAGTGCCAAACCAACCGCTCAGGAGGGCGGTTATACCTGCAGACTCGTGGTTCCAAATTTGTTAAGTTCCAGGAAATGAAGATTCAAGAACATGTGAGTTTGGGGGAGGTGAATCCTGCCATGGTTGTGAAATGGAAGAAAGAAAGAGGAGTGAAGGGCTGGGGGAGAGAAGTCATCTATAGTGGGAACAAGGTTAAACTAGAAGTTTTCATGCTTGCTTTTAGGCAGAAAGTCGAGAAGTGATTGAAATTTTCTGGTTGAGTTGGAAGATAAGAGCTCGGCTTCCCTCCTGGAGTCTTCTAGGCTGGGCTGCTGAGTCTTACCATAGAATTGGCTTCTGAGGCAATGGTCTATGGGTCAGGTTCCTGTCTGCCTCACTTTTCTCCTTGTCTCATGTCCTGTGCTCTGACCCAACCTCCTAGAGTGATCAAGTTCCTGTGGGGAATATCCCTCGTAGCATCACAGTGGTTTTACAAGGAGAGAACACAAGGACTGCCCAGCCTGGTGACCATGTCAGTGTCACTGGAATCTTCTTGCCAATCCTGAGGACAGGATTCCAACAGATGGCACAGGTGAGGGAGTTTGAAATGAGGGAATAGTTCCGTTCCACTCATCCACCCACTTACTGTCTTCACACCCTTAGAAAAGTAAAACCAGTCAGATGGAACTTGTGGTTGTTAAGAAACTCTTAGGGGTTCTGGTGATGGACGGTTAAAGGGAAGCCATTCTTCTGCCCAGGGTTTACTCTCAGAAACATTCCTGGAAGCCCACCGGATTGTGAAGATGACTAAAAGTGAGGATGACGCAGCTGGGGCCGGAGAGCTGAGCCGGGAGGAGCTGAAGCAGATTGCAGGTGAGGGGCCACAAGGTTGAGCCGATAGCGGAGTTTTATCCTAGCTTTTGTCTCGGGAAATGCAATGGCTTAACTTTCTGCAGAGGAGGATTTCTATGAAAAGCTGGCTGCTTCTATTGCTCCGGAGATCTACGGGCACGAAGATGTGAAGAAGGCACTGTTGCTGCTGCTGGTGGGTGGTGTAGACCAGTCTCCTCAAGGCATGAAGATCAGGGGTAAGGGACAAAGGAGAGACTGGGAGTTGTTTGGGGGGTGAGAAGGGATCCGATGAGTAAGTGTTCTGTGAAGGACAACTTAGGAGTTGATGACTTGACTTCACGGTTGTTGATGTCTTAGAAGAAATAGTAGGGGTTTGGGAGGGGAACCAGGTCTCAAGTGCTCTTCTCTGTTGGTCGACAACTTAGGATGAGCATGTCATTTAGGTTTCCTTTCCATTTTCTAGGAAATATTCACATCTGCCTTATGG